TGTTTGTGTTTGTGTGTGTGTTTGTGTTTGTGTGTGTGTTTGTGCGTGTGTGTGTTTGTGTGTGTGTGTGTGTGTGTGTGTGTGTGGGTGTGTGTGTGTGTGTGTGTGTGTGTGTGTGTGCGTGTGTGTGTGTGTGTGCACGCCAGGTGTTTGCTCTAGGTCAGGTTGTTGTGGCTTTGCTTCTGACAGGAAGCAGCGTTGTGTTGTGGGAGCATCTCTTTGCTCTGTCTGCTGCTTCTTCTGTGCTGAACAGGGAACGTAGTCTGTCTCATGCAGACAAAAAACAGGGATTTCAAATATTTATCTGAACACACATGTTTGTGTTTGTATCTTGGTTTTACCAGATGCAGCTGTTCCACAAACCTTCAAAAGCCAGTAGCAAACAGAGTTTACTGATCTGTCATTTCAGTTTATATATGGCCGGTAGTGACTTTATTCTCCTCACTCAGGATGTATTGTCGAAGCAACTTTGAGAAGATGCTTAAATGTTTTAATTAATCACAAGTTTCCATAATTGTGATAACTTCAAATTCCCCAAACATAGAAAATGGTTTAAATGAATGAATTGAAATGAATTCAATATTCAGGTCATTATTTTTGACTGAAAGTTGCTGTAAAAGGTTAGGCTGTAAAGTAAAAGTCTTGCACTACTTGAGTGACACAAGTACACGGCTGTAAGTCTAAGCAAATAACAGAAAATGATTAATAAATATCTCATGTCCGATCATTTTATATAATATTATACGATTATTGAGACTGGTGCAATAATATATAGGTAGCAGTTTTTTGTTGCAGTTAGTCAATTCTGAGCTTTTTTTAAGCTTGCCATATATTGTTTTTTGAGTAGTTTATTCTTTTATATTATACATTTTATGATCAAATAAATCTTTATAACTAAATAAAAATTGTAGTTTGTAAATTGACTAGTAACTGCAGATGTCAAACATTTTTTATTATATAAACACGACAATGTTCCCTCTGAATTCTGGTGGAGTAGAATAAATACTAACTTTTTGTTTTTCTCCTGCTAAACAAAATAGATCATGTATATTTCTTAATTTCTTAAGCTGGTGGGTTAAGCATTACTTGTTTATTTCCAACCCTGGTAGAAGTACTTGAGTAAATGTATGCTGTGGCATATGCTGGAACTCATAGAGACATGGAGTCCTACAGATGTAGAAGTCAACAAAGTCTGAGACGGAAAATAAACCAATCAAACTCACTTCCTACACACACACACACACACACACACACACACACACACACACACACACACACACACACACTTCGACAGACAGAAACTGGATGCTTCGGCAGCAGGGACACGGCACAACTTTATTTCAAGGTCTGTACCTTTTCTTTTCAAATGTCCTGTATTTATTTGCTTTCTAATATTTCTAATAATGTATGTTTCAACTCATTTCAGGCTATGTCCATGTTATAGGGAAAACATTTTACAATGTAGTTGGGTCATATTAACTTAAGCCAAGTCAACATTTGTATTATAGATTAACAAAAATAATCTCTTGCGGTAGCACCCTATATGTTGTTTTTTATCATCAGTTATTTGTTACAATAAAATGGATGATGGAGATCAGAAAATGGCGCAGTTCCTGTTATCTGTTGCATGCTTTCTCTCACTCACATCTAACTATTTCCTTTTGTCATCAGCAGAACTCAGAGGAACACACAATGAAAAGTCATTTAGTTGTACCTGCATGTTTGCTGCTGCTTTGCACGCTGACAGGTAGGCAACTTTTCAGATTTAGATTTTAGATTAAAAAAGTACAATTTTATTATTTAGAGTTTTTCATTAAAGTTAATTACGTCATGTGTTTTTCCAAATGTCTCCCACAGCCCCTGTCAGTTGTAATGAAGATAAGAAAACTACTTAAATAAGGTTGCATCATAATGTGTGAAATTATATTAAAATCAGTTTTTCCTAAACAGCCGGTGAGATAAAAGTCGAAAGTCTCTCTGATGGGATTAAGATTTCCTGTGGTACCAACGTTAATCTAACAAAAAGAGACCACGTAGTAGGAAATACTTTGGAATACAAGGATCAGCACACCGGAGAGTATGCCTGTGACGAAACAAAAATCTATGTGAAATTTCGGAGTAAGTACTTCATCACATTTTGTACGTTTTCTGTCCCCTTTTCTACTTGTATGGCTGCTTCAGCTGTGTTTTTGCAGTATTTCTTGACAGTAATCACTCTTCAATTTATCTTTTTTTTTTTCTGTTTGTGTGTTTGCCCAGCCTGTGACAACTGCGTGGAGTTTGACATGGGCACAATAACGGGATTAGCTATTGGAGACGTGGTGACTACGATCGTGATAGGAGTGGCAGTCTATATCATTGCATCTAAGACTCAGATTGGTCCAACTACCTCTGTCAAGAAAAGTAAACTGTCTGTCTGTCTGTCTGTCTGTCTGTCTGTCTGTGTGTGTGTGTGTGTGTGTGTGTGTGTGTGTGTGTCTGTCTGTGTGTGTGTGTGTGTACGCCTGTGTGTTCATAACTCCACATCCGATGGAGCGTTGCGCCTCAGAATATTGCCTATCATGGCTGTTATTAAAATAAACAAGCAATTAATTGACAGGCCATGTTTTCAATTCCCTCCTATTATTTCAGGGGAAATGTCACACTCGTGGGAAGACACTTTCAAACTGTTTACTCCCACTGGTTTCCCATAGTTCAAACGAAAACAGACTCAGAAATTATCAAGAGAAAAATAATCACCGAGATACAATTGTTTTGTTTATATTTGCTGAGATTTTTCAATCATTTGACGCACAATCACAAACATTCTGTGTCATGCAGATTCATTAGGTAGAAAAAGGGTTAGACAGGGATTGTATTAGAGATCCATGCCCTGATGCCATGATGACAAATGTTTCACTCATCATCTTTGGTGGCTTGGTCATGACAAGTCACAAGACGCAATGATTACAACACAACTATAGCACCTCCATTTAAATAAAAAAATGCTATGGGTTCTAATATTTTTCCATACAATACCTTTAATGGAGTTACAGTCCATCATAATCTCTATCCATAG